AATCAATCAAGGATAATAAGAATAACAAAAACTTTACCGTATTATAATTAGCCTCTAACGCTGCCATATTGGTTGTCAGATTCTTCCAGAAGTTTTGATTGCGTTCTTCCCTTCCGCGTGTAAAATTGCTTACAACCTTACGAATTTCTTTCCCAAGGTTTACTCGATATTCATTTATATGATCCCGAAGCTATCTAATTCAGCATTCAATCAAGAAACATATCAGCGCAGTCACTTACTTACCTTTCTTGCAACAATATCCACCAGAGGATATTGAATGCATTGAGGGTCAAACTCTTGACGAAGTGCTTGGAACGATTCCCAGCACATCACTATTGCCTTCGATATATTCGGCTCGTTTGTCTCAGGCCAAAGGGTAAATCCGATACCATGACCTCCTGTTATAAAAGTACATTCCCAATAGGAAGTAATTTCTATAATAATTTGTGATGGGATATTTGATGGGATGTTGTGTTTGGTTTTCTTCCATCACGCCGGCTTGCTTCACCCCAGCAAAATCGATGACCAGAATAGTTACTGTTAGTATCATCACTTGAAAATACACCAGCTTCTGATGACTCAGATATCATTGACGAAGATGATGTTTGGCGTAATATTTGTTTTCGGGCGTTGATAATGACTGGCTCTCTTCGGCTTGGTGTAGATTGAGGTTCTTTGCAATGTTGATGCGAGGAGTGCTGTGCATTTTTACCCTCCTGACGAGTTTTTTTGCCGTTGATTTATTTCGTTGATTCGACTTTGGTAAAGATAGAATTGCCCTTTGATTCTGGAAGATATATAAATTAGTATCATCAACAAAAATCAATATAGAATAATAAAAATGAAATATAATGCAAACCCCGGATGTAATATAAGCAGCTTGATCTGTAGTAATTGATGACAAGGACAGATCATTTTTCCTAGTAAATAAACTAGAATCGTTTCGGGGAGGATCTTCAGCATCATCTTCACTGTCGGAGTATGAGGTCGCGGATCAGCGCATCCACCCATCTGACAACGACGATGATTTGAGAGATGAAAACTACAACGGGACCATGGGTAACAATTCCGACTCGGGCTCATCTTCAAACTCAAATCAGTCTTGTGAAAAGTAAAAGATAAATAATTAATGTGGTTCATATACCTTCATTGATAGTTGGCTCTTTTTCCAAATCAGAATCTATATTTTGTCGAATCTGATCTGAACCTTTTCGTGATTGATTTCGCGTTGGTTTTCGTGGTGGTGAAAGGACTTCTTGAGAGCGAGTACGCTTGTGTTCATCCTTTTTTGATTTTGGCTTGTTGCTGGAGCACATATTGTTCCTAGAATGTTGTTTGTTTTTTGTAATTTAGATGAAAAAGATGGTATTGTTTGAGAAAAACTGAGATTATGAGTTTATTGAAGTGCCGCAGGCAGTGTTGAGATTGAGAAATAAACTGCGAGACAACTTGAACTTGTGAATAAGCGCTCGGACCTGCAAAAGAAAGGGTCACGTGAATAAATGCCTTACGCTAATAGGTCGCTTCACTGGATAATAGTAAGGATGGTAAGGATGGTAAAGGTGGTAAGGATAATAAGGATGGTAAGAATGGTAAGGATGGTAAGGGTAGTAAGGATAATAAGGATTGTTGAGGATAAGCGATATCCATCAAGAAGGGAAAGCTTGTATATAAGCGAGAACGGTATTGGTGCTGAGCGTTTTCTTTCTTTAACGGAATGTAATCTTTAAGTGACCCAGTCTTCGCTATGTATTGATTCTTCCGGCGGTTATTCCATTTGTTGTATATCGTATCCTCCTCCTGTTTCTGTATTTTAAGCCGCTCTTGCCACTTGGGTTCATGCTGACAAGAAATTTCGGAATATATATTAGGAGGTAATATGTTTCAAGTAGGACTACTCACAGGGTAGGTGGGAAGCTTGTAGGGTAGAATCATAGGGCTTAAGTAATTATGTTTTCACTATCAGATACTATATCCAATGTGACGGAACAGACGGCTCTCTTCCGCCCACTGGCTTATACTACATACGTAGCATGATAC